ATATTGATTTTCTGACATCTTGTTTTCTGTAAAGATTTTATTGGTAGGTTTGCAAATGTGTATCAGACTGTGCAATCTCTCCATGAGTTGGTTTTGAAACCCAGTATGTGATTCTGAGATAAATTACAAGATAAATCATTTGCTTCATTGAACACATACAACAATGCATATTTCCACTGACATCAGTGACCTTTGATGTGTATCACCAGTGATCAGTCAAGTAGAAACAGTCAAAATATTTTATCAGATTTTCTCAATTTTTGCATGATATTTTCATACAGAACATCTGTTGTTCTAACTCAGGGAAGACTTTATACTGATGAATAAGGTGACCAAGTTTGATGAAGTTTGGAATAGAATTAGTAAAGTTATTATGCACACAATAACAATTATTAACGACGACGACGACCACAATGACAACAACAACGACAACGCCGGACAAACATTTTCCCTTAATATACCTTTTCCTTCCATCTTTGATGGTACGGGCAAGGTAATAAAACAAACTGACATGGACATGTATTCCAACGTTAATGGCGTATGTGCCAAATATGAATAAAAATCGCCAAAACGTCCACGTCCGAAACTTCCTACTTGAGCAAACAGTCAGCTGGCACCCTGAATTTTAATAGTCACAGCTCTATAATTCTGCCAACGATGCTTCACAGCTCGGAGTGTATAGAAAGAAAGAAGTCGACCAGATTTCAGTAGGCAAATCACAAAATCATGTTAGTCGAAAAGTTCCACAAAAACTGATATTTTCCTAAATCAGAATACATGCAGTACTTAATTTTTCTGTCGCATACAGCAATGAATATTTGTAGAAAAAGATACTGAAGTTAGTTTCTAGTTTGGAAAGTTTAAGCATAATTTTTGTCTAAAATGTGGCTTATTCAAATCAAGTATTACACACTGAAGCCTCCACACCAGATTAGTTCATGACTATCAGAAAGTAGGATATACCTGTACACAATCTCTATGTAACCAATTGTCCTTACAACATGGAGTTTTCAGCACATCAATTCCTGGCGTAGAAGGCACTTCACAGATACATATAGGACAGATATGTTCTTTTTCAGATACTTTATGCACAGTCTGTTTTGGACGATGATCTTTGCAATACGAACTATATAAGTACACAGTGAATATATTATTATATGGTATTTCCACAAGTTGCTGTAATTTTATGGTAATGCATGTATTATCTACATCCTACCATATACCTTGTTTGAAAACAAGGTTTTTAGTGACAAAAATTTCACTAATTTTCAACATCTTGGTCATTTCTGACTGAACAGACAAAATACATTGAACGGTTGGGTATAGAAGATGTATAATACTAAGTAAGTATGCAAAAAAAGTACACTGTCGTATACACAAAATGTACAGATCATAAAAGGCTCTCTCATTGCATTCATGTTTGGCCAATCAAATTTCACAGTCATCCTTCTATTAAAGTTGCATTTCCACTTTATATTATATGCAGAACACCTCCCACTGACTATTGTGATCACTATGAAAAACTATTATCGGTAGTTGGTATGGCAACAAATCCTGAAATAATGGAGCACTGCACTCGACAGAAAAAAGATTGTGGTAGCAATGTCAGCAAATCAAGGCCATTTACATGTGTGATATTATGATGTTTGCCCAGGGAAAAGGTAGATAAGATTTCTCATTCATTTTTCAATTTTTCTGGGTGTGAATTAATGTATGTCAAATATCAGTTTATAAAAGTAAAGATTCTTACCTAAATCCTCCAAAGAACTGTGACAAAACCCCAAAATCTTTACCACATGGATAGTGAAATTTATGTTTACATTTTGGAATACAACAGCCAGCAGCAGCACCTTTGCTATGACAGTAACTACATTTCAGCTTGGAGCCTCGTCTTGCTTCTTTCAATATATCTGCCGGTAGAAATCCCTGAATGCCTTCATTATCTTCTCCTCTTTGTATCAACCCACAAGCAAATAACTGAAACACAATATTATTATGTGCGAGGGCTCACTTCAATTTGATTTGTTTATAGATGAGCACTGAAGAACTGTGGATCTGGGAAACTGTTAGACACTACTAAACTGAAAATTTTTCTGAGGGGGTGGAGGGCTTCCATTCATTTTGTATATTGTACATGTAGGAGTTTGAGCTTGACAGACATGTGGCTTCAGCGAATTATAGAAAACAAGTCATTGAAAATGACACAGTCCCCGTTAAGTTCTCTTTGTGCTCGTCATATTAAAGCGGAGGGGTTGTCGCCAGTGTGTCCTTGAAACTTGAGTTCCAAGTGGCGTATACAACAGATTGTTTATTTACATCAAAATACGTGTTTCGTGTCATAGTAATATGGCCAAAATAAAAACAGCCGTTATTCGGCCATCTTTGATCTGATTATGAAACACACTGACATGTATGATGTGCCAAATACGAATGAAAATAGAACATAAATTGTGGAAATATAGTAGTAAGGCCAAAAAGTCAGATGGCTGTCAATCGGCCATCCTTGACCAGATTTTGAAACAAATTATAACAAATAATATATGTACATGTACCAAGTTTGAATGACAACTGACAAAGCATGTCCAAAATACAACATTTTCAAAAAACAAGATGGCTGCCAGTCGGTCATTTTGAATCGAATTGCTAAACTACTGCATGTGCATATGTCCCACATAAGGTACTAGGCACATGCAAAGAATGAACGGAATCGGTCCACAGCATTCTAAAATATGACGGACAGACTGACGCACGGACAGACAGACACACGGACGGTCGGACGGACGGACGGACAGACTCAGGAACTCACGGACGGTCGGGGACATGTATCCTAACATGTATGATCTATGTACTAAATTTGAATGAAAACTGACAAAGCATGTCCAAAATATTACATTTTCAAAAAACAAGATGGCTGCCAGTCGGCCATCTTTGATCCAATTGTGAAATAAATCATCATGGACATGTATCCTAACATGTATAATCTATGTACCAAGTTTGAATGAAAACTGACAAAGCATGTCCAAAATACAACATTTTCAAAAAACAAGATGGCTGCCAGTCGGCCATTTTTAATCAAATCGCTAAACCACTGCATGTGCATATGTCCCACATAAAGTACTAGGCACATGCAAAGAATGAACAGAATCGTCCAAGGGATTCTGAGATATGACTCCGGACGGACGCACGGACACACGGAGACCGAATTATAAGTCTCCGTTTTCGGACTTCGTCCGAACGGGGACTAATTACCATCACTGTAACATGTCATCTATTGAAATCTAATAGGTTTGAAACTTGCAGCTACTGGCATTCATTCAGGAAGTGATATACTCACCAAGCAGTAATGATGAACAGTAATTTGTGATTCTTGATGAAAAAATAATTCTCCATATAGCAGTTTATTGTCAACGTCTTTGTGACATAATAAGCACATGCCTGAAACACAAAATATATTGTGTAAAACAAATATGCTAAGAATATTCACCATTTGAGGATTTTATGTCATTCATGAAGATGAAATGCTACAATATTTTGTCAGGTTTTTTCCCAACATTTTTCTGCCAAGAATTGATTTATAGTGTATTACATGAGCTGATAGAGAAGGACATTGTACACTTTCTGCAAAAATCTGAAGACTCAATACATACTTGGGCTGAAATCTACATATGTGCATACATGGTCAAAAACTGAACTGATAATGTATCCAAAATTGCCAAAGAACACTTCGAGAAATTTATGAGAAAATATCTGCAAACCCAAATAGAAATTTCACCCACAAAACATAGATCTTCCTTAAAATCAAAAAGCATTTGTGTCGGAGTGTTTGTAAACAATATACATGAAGGACAAATGGTCAAGGTCAGAATTTTGTAGGAATGTTTAGTTTCTAGATCCTCCCTTACTTTAGGGGAGAACACACTTTGTACGGTTCAGAAGTTATTATAGAGTATACAAACCTTTTGGAACAATTGTAGTTTTCATTGCTTTCTTCCTGTTTCAGTGGCCACAAAATCTGAGGAGGTCAAAGGTCACAGATAAATAAATGACTACTTTCATAAGTTTGGAAAAGAAACTTCCCTTACATCAGTTGTTATCATCAGTGCAGAAATAAATACAAAATATTTTTTTTTTTTTTGAATAAGCAAGATTAAAAATTGGTTTGCATTCACACGTTCAAAACATCATTATTTAGGCCAGTCTAAAGCATCCTTTTTTTTTTTTTTGTTAGGTCAGAAGTATCCAACATCATGGACCCCACCATGTTGTTTCTCCACTGTATTTACATAGCACATCATGATGAAGATGTAGTTTCCATCATCAGAATGGTGTCTTAAATCATCCTGGAGTTCTCCCAGCTAATTTGAGTCATGAATGGCAAGGGGAAGAGAAAGGAGAGATTTGTTTTGAACTGTTGAATGGAAAGTCAGCAACAGTGGTGAAACTTGACACCAGAACAGTTTTGTGGACACGGGAAAATAATCTCAAGACTTTCTCTTTCGGTCAGTACGATTGTCGTTGTCAAGATCACTTTAAAAACCACCCACTGAAGACTCAACTTTCTTTCCACTTGTGCTGTAGTTTTCTCTATTTCAGTATCTCTTAACCATCATTAAAATGTTAATAATATCGTACAGTGTTCTCCACAAATAAAATTTAAAGAGGGGCGCATATAATATAATTAGCATATTTAATTTGCATATAATTAGCATACTAATCAAACATTTCAAAGGTAATTCTTAGCACTTTTATATTTACATCACTTAAATACTGTGTACAAGTACTATATTAATGTTCTTGAATTATTTTGATGAATAAGTTAAACCACTTGATGTGTAAAAAAATATAAACTTTGACAAATGAAGAATATAAATTTTATTCTTTGTAAAAGTGTAATGGAACAAGTTGTGAAATTCTAGCCTTTCATTTATTTCTTTTAAATTTCTTTCAAATATTTCCATTTTCATAGGTTTTATAAATGCACTGAGATATTGTAATAGTTGAAAACCCCAAGTAATAAGAAGAAAAATATTTTCACATAACAAATTTAAAAGAAAAAATTGAATCCGATGACTGTAAATAAATTAATCATTATGTTGATTGCATTGTGGGTAATGAGGACAAAGGTCAAATCAGATACTGTGACATCCATGTTGTTTCAGTGTTTACCGTACGTTTTGTTTTGGTGATTTATTTGATGATTCTTTTTTACTTTTCGCCAATAAAAGGCAAGTAACAAGCAATTGGACCAATAAATTGTTGCTGGTTCTCCTGTTCTTAAGTATCTCAGCTAATTCAGGAATGATGAGAAAACTTGTTTTGACTATCCCATTGTGTGATTAACGCAATGCTTGTGACAATCAGTTCACGCATCCATTCATTGTTTTTTGATTATTTATTCAGCCAGTTTTTCCCCAGACATCAAATCTATTGTCCTAGTTGTCACCTATGCCACTATCTGTCTCTTAGTTCTTTGTTTTATCGCCTGTCAATTAATAAGAGGTCTCTCAATAACGTCGTCGGGACTTCTTCCGAGACTGTGAAACAGCCTGTCACCGAAAACAATGGAGGGTTCTGAAGATAAATAGAGGGGCGCTACAAATTGAAGAGGGGCGCAAATAAATTAAAGAGGGGAGCTTTGCCCCTCTTAAACCCCTCGTGGAGAACACTGAATACTCAACTCACAATAATGTATTTGATCTGGGCGGGAAATGTGAATGCAGGGCGCTTGTTGACCGATGCAGGGCACACGACTTCCTATGCAGGGCGCTGCGCCCTGCTAAAACCCCTCGTGGAGAACACTGCCGTAATTGCCCTGGTAAGCACCAATGTCCGGGCAAACGCCCACCCCACAATCCCCCAATTTTGATACAATAAAGAAATTGAGGTCATATCCGGGCATACGCCCAGATAGGGCTTTTTCTACACTTGTAATAAAAAAAATCGATTTTTGTTTGTTGTATTAACAGTTGACTTCCTTGCAGTCTGTTGTGATTCTGATAAAAAGTCTTGAAAAATAAATGTCAATTGCTTAAAGCAGTGACAGCAGAATAGGTAATTTCGCGTTCTGCCTTCAGGGCACCGCTGTTTATGAAATATATATTTCAAGATTTTTTTTATCAGAATCATACATTTTTTTTTAACTGTCAGCAAGTCAATGTATATTAAAGCAGAAACGGTAGTTCTCTTTTTGAAATACGTCATGGCTCTGAAAAAGGCTGTTTGGTTTGTGTTTTCTTAGAAACGATACAAGCAAATCTTACAGAGAGCCGCAAAGCAAGTTCGTACTCGCACTCGTTTGCCTTTAGCGTCACAGACAATGAAACCAATGTGGTAATATTGTAGGAACCTGTACCTGGGAGAGTGGTTGAAAGCATGTTGTTTGGCTTTATAAAATATTTGGTAGCAGCTTGCGAATCCATAACTGGGGCCAGCAATTTTGCAATGTTACGCTAATGACTTGACCTCTATGATGAAACACTAGTATTGATGTAATTCTTAACCAATCAGAAAAGCAGATGCTTAAAGTGTAACTGAATTGGGCCAATTGACTTTTTTGTGTGCAAAATTTATTTATAAACAACATTATGAAAAAAAATCAAGTGAAAAGGATATATAAATCGGGTAAACAGTCAATGATATTCCAAAACCAGGCCACGCCCCCCTCTCCCGTCACCTTCGAGTTTTTTCGGCATCATGAGTGCCACCAACGGGACCATAAAGCAGGAGATTGCTAGCAGACAAGATTGTTAACCATTTTCCATACGCAAGCGTTTAGTAAACGATCATGCAGTACAGCTCTCGCGAAAGCTTCGGCTTTTGTGGCATCATTGTTGCCTCAGCATCGCATCATTGTGGCATCAGCTTCGCGTCATTGAAAATTGAAGCTGTGTTCGCCTCGCCTATTTTGTGGCATCATCGTGGCCTCAGGTTCGCAGTCTCATAGCATCAACATGGCATCAGCTTCAAAGTATTGTGACATGAGTATGACCTCATTATTTGCACACAGTAGAGGAAAACACATGTAAAGAAGTTCGATATACATGTACAGTATAATCGATTTGAAATTCAAGGCGGTAAGGGGAATAAAATAATACTTATGATCAAGAGTAAAATGACATTTTACTAAAAAGATATCTTGTTGAATTATTTTAGTGTTGCGAGTATTGGACACCAACAACTTTATGAAGTACATTGCAATCGGCAAGGTGACGAGTGTCATATTGACTGCAAGGAAAATTGTGATAAATTGAAATCACACATGCAATCGTCGTTCGGATACAACAAAATTTGCTATGTACGAAATGAAACTGTTCTTGTTAAAAAATTACATTTTTTTCACTCATTTTATTTGCTGGTAAGAGAACCGATCCCATGCCCGGACTACTCATACATGCAAACACATGTACGCCGCCTGTGCGTCGGCGTTGTTGCCAGTCATCTTGATACAAAGTTCCAAAACAAGTGCGTACATTTCCAC